ACGAATCCCCTGGCCTCGCACTCTGCCTTCTTGGATCTGTGTGTGGTGGGACAGGACAATCTCTTGGACTTTCCTGCTCTCCTGTTCTTTTTTCCTTGCTCTGTTCTTCCCTCAGCGTGGGGGACCCACGTGCAGGCGTGCAGAGAGCGCTCCCCTCCAACTGGGGCTCCATGGGGTGGGTCTCGTGTTCTCTCCGCAGGAAAGCAGCCCGGAGTAGTTTCTCAGATTGAGCATTTCTAATTAGTGCTGCATTAAGGCACCTCAGAAATTCCTTTCGCAATTAAGAAGCAAAGCTCTCCCATTAGTTAAAGGATTAAAATCCTGTTGCCAGTGACTACAGCTAGGTTATGTTAATCCCAGCCTAATTGCCATGTGGTTGGAATTTCAAGGTCAGGCTTCATATGGAACTCAAATTCCTGTGCTGGATGTGCTCAGTGCTACTCTGGTCAACTTTTTGTAGGTTTTTCCCCATTCTTTCCTCCTCTCCACTAACCTGACAGGAATGAATTCACTCCGGAGATGGACGCATGTCAGTGCTGGTTGAAATGAGCTGGCGGTTCTCTCAAGTGCATATGCAGCAAGGAGAGCAGAAGGATTAGTTGATCACTGACTCCTTGTTTTTTGCAGAGACCAGCAAGGAAGCCGGAGAGGTAGAAATTGCTGCTGTTTTGTTGTGCAGAAGTTTGACGCTGTCAGCCAGTAGCTCCAACGTGCATTTTCCGCTTCAGATTGCTCGAGCCTCTCCCGTGTTTCCTCTTCATGTTCATCAGCTTCTAATAACACGAGATTCCATATGAGCTTATACCCTCTGCCTGTCCATCCTTCCAACTTCCCATAAAGGCCTAGAAGGTGGTAGGGAAGAGCAGAACCCTTGTGCACTGCAATAACCAGCAACCTGCAGTGATTCTGCTGGGTTATTTTGGGTTGTATGCCAAGGAATTAAAGCAACTTTCCGTCTCTTCTGGTTAGTCTGATTAGCATCTCCCGCAGTTGTGGCGGTGCCAGATGACCCCTGTGCCATGGCTGCTTCCCGCTACTCGGGTCTCCACGTGGCATTAGCCTTGTTTACTCAGCTTTTAACCGAAACAGTAGTTCTTGCTGCCAGCTTCCTCTGCCCACGTGATGCTACTCCGGCCTTGGTCCGGATCGGAGCTGGGGCACACGGATAGCTGACCTGAGAGTCTGCGCACCCCTATTTCCCTCTTGGCTGGCTGACCTGAGGGGCAGCATGACCCACCTGGGCCTGAGCCAGTCTTGGCTTGATCACCAGTGGAGGGAATTCAATGAGTAAATAAGCAGCAGTGCGTGACACTGCATGGGGACAAAGTATATCTTGTTGCTTTTGCAAGATTTTCATCAGACGTTCTATTGACGTCGATTCCCCTTTACGCTTCCCTCAAAACCCCCTCTGTGGTGCATCTGGCTCTGCTCCTGCTGCGTAAGAGAGCGCCCGCCCGTTCCTGCAGCTGGGAAGGAAAAGGTGCTGAAGCTGAAACAGGGAGCAGCTTTGGTGTTCTGGAGTACAAGACCGGAGTGACTGTTGGAAGAGGCACTGCAGTTACCCAGGGTGTGCAGCCCAGGTGACATTCACAGAAGTGCATGTCACATACTGGGGTGTTGCTGCGGAGCTGGACCCCAGCTGCACACACACACGCACGGACACGCATGCCTTTTCTCTGAATTGCTCTCCCATGAGAGCCGAGGATTTGAAGTCGTTATTCTCTCCTGCTCCTGGCACAAACTTGCATAGCTGGAAGGCAGGAATTTGACTGTTAGCAAATACAAAATGCTGTCAGTCTTTAATGAGGTTGTGATGTTCTCTTGCAGGCTAATATTGGCCAAATGGATACACCCAAAGAGCTCTGGAGGATGATAACAGGGAACATGGCTCTGATACAGGTAAGGCAATGTAAAAGGAGAAGAAAGTGTGAATATTGGTAGTTGATATAATCCAACTCTGAGAATTGTCAGGTTTAAATGCCTGGTTTTTGGTATTGGCAGCTGCTCATCTCACAGTTGTCTTAACGTAACAGTTTCCTCTACATGTGAGACCTGGTGTTTCCCTACTAGAGGCTAATCCACCTGAAACAGTGGTAGCCTGGGTGGTGTTTCCCTCTTCCCTCACCCTGGGACCATTTTGCTCTCTAGTCCTATTGGTGACTGTCTTGTTTTCATTTTCAGGTTCAGGCTACTGTGGTTGGCTTCCTGGCCTCGATCGCAGCAGTGATATTCGGATGGATCCCAGATGGGCACTTCAGCATTGACCATGCTGTCCTGCTTTGTGCCAGCAGCGTGGCTACTGCTTTCATTGCTTCCCTTGTTCTAGGTGAGAGACAGACCCTGCACACCCTTTATGCGCCTCTTCCTAAAATGCTGGGCTCCCCTTGGCCTCATCCTATTTTCTTCCTCTTTTTGGCTATAGGCATGATTATGATCGGGGTCATCATTGGATCCAGGAAGATGGGGATCAATCCTGATAACGTCGCCACACCAATTGCTGCCAGTCTGGGGGATCTCATCACTTTGGCTCTGCTTTCAGGAATCAGCTGGGGCTTGTACAAAGAGCTGGGTGAGGAGCAACAAAAGGCCTTTGTCTCTCCCTGGTCCTTCCACGTGCTGCAGCATCTCCCTTGCAATTCACCCTCTTTCTTTGCCCTTCCTGTTCTCGGGGTATATAGGATGCCTGGCCTGGAAGCTACCTCAGTTAGTGAGACCTAGTCAGAACTGATAAGGGAAGGAAATGGACCTTCTTACTGCCTTGTAGCTGCAGACAGTCTTGGTAGTGATCTGCATACTTCCTTTTTACCAGGTAAAGTGGCAAGGGAGAGGCTGTCCCCTTCCAAGTGCCAGGGGCTTGATTGTGGCTAAAGCAGTGGGAGAAGGCAGCTTTGGATTTCATCTTTTGTCCTGTCAGCACCAGCTGGGGATCCTCAATGCAGAGCTGCAGCTGTAGACTCTAGACTTCCTCCTCCTGCCCCTCCACCTTCCTTCCCTGGCAGCTGGGGTGCAGGGGATGTGACTCAGCCAGGTTCAGCCAAAGGTGAAGCAACACTGGGAGGTCTTGCCCAGGAGTCGGAAGTGGGAATGAGCAGTTGGGATTGAAGAGATCTCGCCCTTCAAGTTTGAAGGGATTGAAGAGACTCTCGCTGATAAAGTCCCTGTGAGTACACCAAGAGAAGGAAATGCCATGTCCCGCAGAGTTGAGGCTGGGCTGGTCTACTTTACCTGCCCTTTTTGGAGTTTCTAATGCCAGAGGTGACAGCAGTTTGTAGGCAGGCTGTGTCCTTAATCTGTTACCTCTGCTTATTTCCCCCTCAGAGAGTAAAGCCTACGTGAACCCTTTGGTATGCGCCTTCTTCATAGCACTGCTGCCCATCTGGATCATCATCGCCAGGAAGAATGCAGCAACTCGGGAGGTGCTGTACTCTGGCTGGGAGCCAGTCATTATTGCAATGGCTATTAGCAGGTAGGAAGGCATGGCAGAGTTCCTCCCCCCAGGCACAGACAGGCAACGCACCTTTTCCCTCAGCCCTTTCGACCTCTTAGGCCCTGGTAGATTCTGGAAAAAGAGGGAACCAAATCTCTTCTGCTTCCGCAGTCCAGACTGCCAGGAAAATGAAAGTTATTTTGTGTTTTCGAGACAAAGACACAGGGTTCTAGGTCCTGAGGCACAGGAGCAATTAAGCACCGGACTGCTGGAATCCAGGGCCTTAGCAATGTCCCAGCTGCTGCCCAGAGAGACTCTGGCATGGCCATGGAGTAAGCCCAGATGCCGTGTAGCAGTCTTCTGCACAGGAGCCCTCTCTGCCCTCTGAAGGGCAGGATCGCTTTCGATTATTGTGCTGCAGTAAGCTGTACGTTAGGGGATTTAGTCTTTGGTTTTGGGCAGCAATGACAAAAGATCCTGCTAAAAGTCTTCTGTTTTCAAATATCGAGGCTTGCAGTCATGTGCAGCAGCTGCAGCCATAGGTGCATGTTTAACAGGCGTATGCGTCACCCTTGG